GCGCGCATGGTGTGTCGTTGTGCATATGAAGAAGCGCGCATGGTGTGTCGTTGTGCATATGAAGAAGCGCGCATGGTGTGTCGTTGTGCATATGAAGAAGCGCGCATGGTGTGTCGTTGTGCATATGAAGAAGCGCGCATGGTGTGTCGTTGTGCATATGAAGAAGCGCGCATGGTGTGTCGTTGTGCATATGAAGAAGCGCGCATGGTGTGTCGTTGTGCATATGAAGAAGCGCGCATGGTGTGTCGTTGTGCATATGAAGAAGCGCGCATGGTGTGTCGTTGTGCATATGAAGAAGCGCGCATGGTGTGTCGTTGTGCATATGAAGAAGCGCGCATGGTGTGTCGTTGTGCATATGAAGAAGCGCGCATGGTGTGTCGTTGTGCATATGAAGAAGCGCGCATGGTGTGTCGTTGTGCATATGAAGAAGCGCGCATGGTGTGTCGTTGTGCATATGAAGAAGCGCGCATGGTGTGTCGTTGTGCATATGAAGAAGCGCGCATGGTGTGTCGTTGTGCATATGAAGAAGCGCGCACCGCGGCGCCGTCATGCCGTCCTTCCCTTCCTGCCATTCCTTTTTTCCGATGTGCCATAATCTCCAATCAAGTCAAGCACGCCTTGCCCTGCTTGATTCCGCTAGCACTGATGAAAGATTGACTAGGGGTCTGTCCTTCGTAATAGATTCCCCTAGTCCAATCAAGTCAAGCACGCCTTGCCCTGCTTGATTCCTTCGTAATTGATGCTACCTTCTTCTTCCCACACACCCTCTTGTGCCACGTGTCATCCACAATCCAATCTCTCAACCAGGTGTTTGATAACCCGAGTGTCTTGGACGGCCCTCCTTCTGTTAAGGTACGAAAGTCTTTCGTTTTTTTGTTTGTTCTGTTTTTCTCTCTCGTTAAGCGCGCCTGAGAAGAAAACAAAGCTATAGCTTAGAGAAATGTTCAAACGCCCACCTGTTTGCCTGCCGCAGCTGTTGTTATCTATCCTGTCTAGTCTCAGTCACTTTGCATATTCCGCTTTGGCCATTGCTGCACCACGCTTTACACGAAGTTGTGCCTCCATTATTGTCTCCATTGCCTAAGTATATTGCGTCCCTGGTGCTGCCTTATCCGTTTGGTGTTTGAACCCGTGCATCGTTTCCCCCTTCCATGCCATGTCATGCCATGCCATGCCATGTCATGCCAACAACATGCATCACATGAACCCACAGGCGTCCAGCAATCTGACGCGGTATCAGTGGGACGAGGTCAAGGCAACAGAGCAAGTGAAGGAGATCTATGTCAGTACCACTACCACTCGCCCTCTCTTGCGTGAAGGTCACACACACACACTGCACGCTTCTCTTGTTTCCCTTTCCTCCCTAAATTTTTTTCTCTAATGTTCGCCTCACAAACGGCACACACATGCCACTTCAAAACGTCCTTTAAGCCGTTTTCCACCCTCCTGTCCCATGCCCCTTGCCCTTGCCCTACTTTTAACTCCCCAGGCGTTCCAGCGAGTGTCAATGTTCCCGGTGGTAGGCGGAGTGGCAGGGGAGGAGCAGTCGCGGCTCACTGCAGCAGATGTCATCTCACTGGGCCTTGGCGAGAAGCCCGTTACTGTCTACAAGTACCTGCTGCGCCTCACACGCACATAGATCTGATTGCTATCCTGAACGATTTTTGAGGCGCCTAAAAAATCGTCTCTGCAGCTGGCTGGCATCATCTCGCTGGGCTTTGGCGAGAAGCCCATTACTGTCTACAAGTACCTCTTACACCTCACACGCAGATACTAGATTCACAGGGCCACCTTTGGCCGCAGGCCTCAAGGCTGTTTTGGCGTACCGTACTTCACGCGTGTACCCAGTGACTCGCACGCAGTGTGCGAGGGAAGGAGTTCCCAGTCGACTTGCTTAAAAGCCCATGGCTGCGAGGGAGGGAGTGAAAGGTCGCTACGGTTGGTTCCTTCCAGGTGTTGGCATCAGCAAGGCTGACCGGGTGCTCAACTGTGCACGCTGCCATTACTCAGCGCTGATTTTGTTGCCACCTTTCCGTATGGTGAACCTTGCCGATTGCAGCGTCCGTTCATGTTAGACAGGGAGCTCGTTTTGTATGCAATTATTACTTGAGAATCACTCATGACTGATACACGGAGTCAAGCTTGTGCTTGTCTTCCAAGTTGTAACTGCTGTTACAAACTTGGAACAAGAGCTTCACAAACTCCATCAAAAGAGTAACCTAGTTTGGATGGGCTCAAGAATACAGAGGCTTGACAACCTTGGCAAACGGAATACCAGAAGTCGTAAAAATTTTGCGCTTTTAGGGGTGGGGAGGGGGAGACGATTCTGCTGAGCTCGGGCTACCATACACGCACAGCTTGCGCAGTCGAGGCAAGGAACTGACGCTCACAGGCACAGAGCCCACATCAGCGCCATCAGCAGCTATCTCCAACGATGTGAGGCTCCGCAGCTCACTCATGCTTGCTAGAAGAGTGTCCAGCGACTCGGTCCACTCCACATTCAGCTTCCGCAGCTGTGGTAACATTGATGCGATGCCTTCTGGAAGCTTTTCCAGCCCAGATGCGCGGATCGTGAGCGAGCGAAGCTGCGGGAAAGTGAGCGGGAAGGGAAGCTCTGTAGCTGTGTCTGGCAAACGCAGGGTCAAGTGCTGCAGCAGGGTCAAACTCCTGCTCAACGCCATCCCACACTCCAGATGAGGTAGGTCCAATGTCAGATCCGTCAGATTTGGCAGCAGCGACAAGTCAGGAAGGTAAGTCACGTGTGAAACATTCCCCACTCGCAGGACCTCGAGCGAACGTGGCAGGTGCTGTGGGATGCGAGTTAAACTGCCACATCCAGACAGCTCCAGCTCCTTCAGCCTCCCTAGGCTCTCCAATCCCTCTGGTACTGAGACGAGGTTAATACTCGGTTCATTGTGGTCTTCATTGTCGTCGTCGTGCAGAGCTTGCCTATCGGAATCAATTTGGAAACGGAGAGATTCAAGACGAGCGAGACTTGCCAACGACACCGGAAGCGTCCTGATTCTATTGCAATTGCAAAACCAGAGAGTTTTCAGGTTCTGCAGCCCCTGCATGCCTTCGGGAAGCTCGGAAATATTACAACTGTTGAGATGAAGCTCTGTCAAGGAAGATAGCCGTGTGAACGAGGGCGGGAGATCGTGAATGTCACTCAAATGAAGCACCTGGAGACTACCGAGCTCTCCAAATCCTCCTGACAGCTGCAAAAGATCATTATTCAAGACGAGGACCTGCAGTAGAGTGAGATTAGAAAACGAATCGGGGAAGGCTGAGATGTCCAAGTCGACTAATGTCAACATTTTGAGGGCCGGTAAATCGCCGAAGTTCCTGGGCAGGCTCTCCATTGGGCGACAATCACTGAGAACAAGGATCTCCAAGCGGGTGAGAGAGGTGAAGTCGTCAGGCAGATCAACCAGGTAGCAGTCTCTCATAATAAGCCTGCGCAGGCGCGGTAGCAGCTCTCCCAAATGGTCTGGAAGGTGGTGCAGCTGCCTGTAACCGGAAACCTGAAGGTCCTCTAGGCGGGTGCATGGTGATGCCAGAAAGACGAAGTCCTCCGGAGGACAGGAATTGAAGAGTTTCAGCGACTGAAGGGAACACGGCATGCTTGAAGGAGACGAGTCCTGACCGACTTGCCAAAAAGAAAGGATGGAAAGATGGGAAAGTCCTGGGAGGTGAGCGAGGGTGGATAGGTCTCGAACAAAAAACGGGAAGCCAATGTAGAGGGTAGTGAGAGAGGTGAAGTTTCTAACACTCGGTTTTATCAAAACTGCAGGGTCGGTGAGAAGAAGCGTGCGGAGATGACTCAGCTGGAAGAATGAAGCGGGTAAATCACCAAAATTGAGAGAGCGGAAGATCGAAAGCTGCTGCAGCCCCGTGCACTTCTGGAAGAGTATATCCAGGCCAGCTGACGTGATTGGGTGTTCAAACTTCATGCGCTTGCGGAGCGATCGTGATATCCCCCAACCCACGTGGAGGGTGGTCAGTTTGGGACATGATGAGGCAAGGCGAGAGAGGAAATCGTCGTCCAGTCTATCGACGCTGCCGTCACTTAAGTGCAGATGCGTCAGGTTCGGAAAACAAGAGACAGCAGCAGCAAGATCTTCCTTGGATACCGTGCAGTTTTCCCTAACTACAAGCGTGTTTACGTGTTCATTTGCAAGGTTACGCCACCGACGACAAATGGACGCGTTTAGAAGGCTCAAAGCGATGTCCGCGCAGGGACCCGGGGTGGGTATGGGTGTCTTGTGCTTCTCAGTGCCTATATCATCAGGATCCGGTAGATGGATAGACTCTAAATCGGGAGTTATCGAGTTCCACAATCTGTCCATCAACGATTCTTCGGGAGCGGGTTGAGAATGCCAGAGGATCCTAATGAGAAGGTCGTCAGGAAGGCTGTTGATAGTAGTGGCTGTTTCCATCTTGAAAGGTTTATCACGATACGGTGGTTCCAACTAGCAGGTACTAGAAGTGCGTTCTAAGTAGATCCCACGAGATAAAGAGACTGGAAACCTGAACTGAATCCACAAACAATGGTCGGGAGTACAGTTCTGTGAGACCTGAGTTCCACTCGCATGTTCCTGACCCGCGAGTCGTGCCTCAGCAGCAGAAGCTCTGGAAGGAAGTCGCGAGGTGAGCCGAGGGGCTGTGCATTATTCACGTGCTCAAAGTCTTCGCGCCACGTCATACACGAGGAGTAGCTGACCTGTCTGACGCCTCTGATGGGACCAGGCCACGTCAGCTGCGCTTTGGTTGAAATCAATGCTTGTGAAACACAAACGAGCAGTACCTTTTCAAAATACACATGCAAAATGTCTTAGTATAGTTAAAACAACGATGGGCAGCAAATAGGAGTTTCATATAAGCACCACTACACGTGTGCTTCCACACAAAGGTCTTGGAAAACAAGAATGCAAGCAGCATTCTCAATCCATGCACCTAACTATTTCTATAAATGCTCCCTTTTACTATCAACATCGTCCTCAAAACTCCATCAAGCTACTGCGATGATCCCTGATCCTCCCTCTCCCCCCAGGCCTCACCACCAGAACAGGACACCCGCTCTCAACCCCTCCACCCCCACGCACTCCCACTCCCAACCCACCCCGCACACCAATCCTCTCCATACCCCCCCTGGCTCTGACACCACTCAAACCCCCTACTCCCCCGGCCCCTGCCCCTGAACCAGCAAGAGAAACACCACTGCTAGCAACAGCAGCAGCGACGGGAGGAGCATGAGTGGTGTGGGGGTCGGAAGCAAAGGCAGCAGCGCCACCAGCCGAGTCAGCGAGATGACCGGAGAGAATGAGGAGGTGAGCCCGCACTGCATGCACACGACACAGCACCACCTCACAGGGGTCCATGGCCTGATGGGCGGGAGAGGGAGGGAAGGGGGGAGGGGGGAGGGTATGCGGAGAGAGGGAAAGAGGGAGAGGATGAGGAAGTGAGCACCCATGCATGCACTGCACAACACAGCATCACATACGTCTCTCCCTTGCCTACAGCACACCAGCATTATGGGGGACAGTGCGGCAGTGAGACAGTGAGGCAGTGAGGCAGCGTGGAAAGTTGGGATAGAAAAAATAAGAACTGGGGATATCGAAGGATCTTCTAAAAGAAACTTGAGATTGGAAACTCGATTCTCAAGTTCATGGCACTTGATCAGCACATCCCTTCCAAACCCTTATAGTTCACTGACTCTTGTCACCTATCAATCCCATTTCTTTATCGACTGAAAAAATCCATCCCCCCCTCCCTCACCTCACCTCCATCTCCAGCCACCCACTTTGCCAGTCCCCCACCCAAGAACCGTTCTGTTCAATCCATTCATTTATTCATAATTTCATCCCCAGAGAATCTGCTCCAATGATCCATGCCCACCACCACCATCTCCTTCCCATTCCATCCCATCACCTGTGAAGCCCCACCAATGTCGACACTTCCCATGTTTCTCCTCCTCCCTCCCCTCTTCCCGCCTACACCCCCCAATCCCGCCCCCCCCCACCCTTTTCGCTGCCTCCCCCAGCCTCCCTCGCAACTTCCCCCTCCACGCCTTCCCCCCTTTCCACCCCTCACCTCGACCACGGCAGTGTCGTGGTTTCCCGCCTCTTCCCCTTATCTGCTCCGCCCATGCGTCCTCCAGAGGAAGGATGGTGCCTCAAGCCTTTCCGCTACTGACCACCCTTCTTCCCCTCTCTCTCCCCCTCTCCCCCCCTCACCTCGACCACGGCAGTGTCACATGCGACGCCCATCTGCTCCGCCTCCCTCGCAAACCGCTCCAGCCAGCGCGCCACCTGGGGAAAGGACGACATGTCATGCCATGCCATGCCATGCGAGTTGGCATACAAACACGCACAGGTAAGGAGCAAGAATTAGGAATTACGAACAAGGAACCCTTGTTGTTTCGAAGACACCACGAAAAAGGCATACTTCTATTGCTCAACCTCTCGCATTACTTCCCCCCTCCTTGCCCCTCGCCACCCCCACCCCCCACCACACACACACTATCTTTCCAATATTCCCCACCGCTTCGCTTCCCATACGCCTTTAATTTATATAGCAGCCCCACCACGTGGCACCAAACACCCATTACTCGTTACTATCCCCACCTTCACGTCCATGTGTTGTTGCTGCTGCTGCCTCAGCGGTCGTCCCAGTCTACGCCCATGCGCCCTCACCGACCCTCCGCTTCCGCCGCTTCCGCCGCACCACGCGCCACCCGCGGCACCGTACGAGTCCGCCCCGCGAAACCTGCTCGCCCAGTCGTCGCTCCCCGTGCCCGCATTCGTCACGCCGGCGCGCTTCTCGCCGCTTTTCACGGCGCCGAAACCGCCAGGAAAGCAGTGAACAGCGGGGAGGGACGTATCAGGCCTGTTGGCGCTACCGCTGCCTTCTAAATCTCCATCCGCGCGACTCCACAAAGCTAAAGACGCTGCCTTCGCCTTCTGATCATCCCCACCAGCAACAGCGGCGTCTAAACACGCCGCTGCTGCGCCTCCCGACGATTCAAACGCGCTTTCCAGCATCAGCGCCGCCGCCACCGCCGCTTTGCGCATTTCCGCCGACTCCGGTGCGGCGGAAACGGAGCTTCCGCTCATGCGCAACCCGTCCACGCTCCGCCTCCGCACATGCCGCAGAGGCTCTGCGCCATTGCCTCCGCCGGCACCACTCTCGCTGAGCCGTCCAATAGGAGAGCGAGGCAGCTGCCACGGCGTGGGAGTAGCCGGCGCGGCGGGAGCGGCGGCGGCAGCAGGGTCGAGAAAGCACGACGCGAGGAGAGCCGCGGCACGGTCGGTGGAGGCGCCAAGGGAAGCGGACGACGCGCGGGCGGCATGATACGATTCGGATGGCGCGGAAAAAGCGGAAGGCCATGCGGAAAACGGCACGGAATCATGTTGACGCTTTCGTGAAAAACGACCGTTGAAGGGTAAAGCGGCAGCGGCGGCGGCGGTGGCGGTGGCGGTGTGGTCCTTGGTGTTGCCTCGTCGAGAGAATGACGAGGCGCGAGGCGACGACGGCAGGCAAGTCGGCGAGGCGGCAGCCAAGGAGTCGGATGGCACTGGTGGGATGAGATGAAACGAGATGAAACCAGACGAGATCAGACGACGCGAGAAGAGATGAGATGAGAGGTGATAAGTTGGGAGCGGTCTGAGAACAGAGCGGGACAGTGGAGGAAGTACATCAAAGGCGACGAGCGCGGAATGGAGAGACCGTGTGAAAGCCGTGGATCTGGACGGTGAAGAGCCGTGCGGTAACGGGAACCGTAACGATAACAGAAACGGGATCGGTAATGGTAACGGAGTCGGTAACGGAAACCGTTGACGGGCATGATGAGCTTACGGTGGCGAGGTGTCTTGACGTGGAGGAGAAAGAGGTGGTCCGTGATCGGGTCCGCGATTCGCTGCAGCGCGTAGTGAACGGCCATGTCGCTGCCGTCGCTGCCGTCCACTGCGACGACTATGCGACGCATCGTGCGACTGCTGTCGAGCCGTTCCTCCTCCACATCGACAGCAGGGTCAATCGCAAGCCCGTGCTCGCAGTTGTCCCCTTCCATGCGGTCGTTCTGTTTTTTCTTCTTCTTCTTCTTTTCTTGTGTTTGTGTGTGTATGTGAGTGTTTTTTTCTTTTCAACTCTCGTACGTGAATCCAATCGAAGAGGTATTGTGTTCTAAGGCGTCACGATAGAGGTTATCCTCTTGTTCCCGTGTGGCCCAGGAACGCAGTCGCACGTCGTCTGGCACACACAAAGGAAGGACCGCCTGGTACTGCCAAAGGTTCGAAATATCCGCACCGTCTGTCCGTGGCGTGACGATCAGGAAAACGATTAATGAAAAATAGCTCTTCCAGCTTGTGAAACCAAGAGAGCTCGAAGAATGACAATGGATGGAACAACTGAGAGTTGCTGGTTTTGAGCTTCTGGGATGGGAGTTTGGTTCGATATTCGAGAGGTGAGAGGCCAGGAATGCAATCTGAGACTTGTGTTGTGAGAGTACAGACCAGGGTGATGGGTGGGGTCATGGCTGGCACGTGAGTGGGATGATGGAAGGTCGGGTGGGATGGAAGGTGAGATGAGGGAGTGGGGGGGGAGAGGAGAGTTGAGAGGATGACGGATTCGATGGGGTAGGTGGTGAGGTGATGATGACGGTGATGATGTGCGGTGCGGTGCGGAACAAATTGTCGTTCAGGTTGAAGTGGGTAAGGTGGGATGGAATACGATGGGATGGGGTGGGGTAGGTGTGTGTGCGACAAGACGCGTGACGCGCTGTTGGGTTTGGTGGTGGTGGTGATTTGGTGATGTGATGGATGGATGGAATGGAAGCGCTGCAACGATGCTTGGCAGCTTGAGCTGAAACGGGGTCCTTTTGCAGGTGGTGGAAGTGATAGGTTGTTCTGTTGCAGTTCACGCATCCAGTGAACTGTCCCAATGATGTGATGCTACTGCCAGGCTGCATTGCCCTGGGTGTCATGTCATGTGTACATGCAGACCCTCCAGCTACCACCCGCCAGCTACGTTCTGCCATTCATCCAGCAGAGAATAAACCCGTTCGCTGCTGAAATGACGTGGATTTGAATGCCCTGGAAAGTGAAGCATGTGGGATGGATATGCGGCGGAGTAGCCTCCCACAGTCGTTGGTGCCGTGTCATGTGAGCCAGCAGTCCTGCCCTGTCCTGCCCAAAGTGTGGAAATTGTGGGAAAGCAGGTCACTGGTTTGGTTTGCCGTTTCATTTCATCTGCACATCCATTGGTATGTGTGCTTCGTTCACGCGGGCCCAGCCAAATCCGACCGACCTGACCGTGTCACATCACATGGGAGGGTGGATCCTTGGTTCGTTCGCGAAAGACAAACGCAGACCTGACCTGCCCTCCTCACCTCACACCAAGCAGGTTGGGAGATGAACGTGTATGCTGACGCAAGCAGCGCGTGCGTGCGGCCCAATCGATGTCCGCGAAAAGCGACAGCAGCACTCGTGCGTGCCATTTCAAGGTCCAGCACAGTCCGTTATAGCCAATCAGGAGCGCGTGAATGTTGGCACGAGTCTGGTTGTGGCACAACCAATCAAATAAATATTGAGGTTATCAGGTTTGGGTTCTGGGCTTGTGTGACATACACGAGTGCAGCTGTATTATATATCAAATTGATGCTGTAAGTCTTGCAAAACATACTCTTGGTTTACAAGAATCCATTCTCCTTCCATTGATATTCCAACCCGATGTCCATAGCTCGAGTACCTGTCTGAGAAGATTAGCCACCATACAGGCATGACGCATAATGAATACTAATGGGTACAAAGACCTTGTATTGTACACGTTTCATATCTGCCCATTTCCAAATCAGGCCTGGACGAACACCCTTACTTCCCCCCTGTCCCCCCTGCTGATTCTGAAATCTCCATCAAGGTAGCTGGTTCTGAAGTCTCCGCTACGAACCTCAAGAGGTGGGCGGAGGAAAGCCGGCAACTGGGGAACAGTAAACGACGGAGGGAATGAGCCGTTGGGTCTCACTGCGGTGCTTTCAAATATTATACGGATAGACGAAGGTCCTGAAGAAGGGAGCAGAGGGGAGGGTGGAAGAGAGGCTTGTGAGGTTTAAAAGAAAGGACAGCATGCATTGGGGTACAGAAGCAAGAGGTGGCTTCCTGACATGCCCAAAACATTGATGTTTGTGATCCTCCATTACTTAGGCCCCGTGTGCCCTCACCAAACCAAGCGCACACACAAGTGTGGCAAATGGGGAGTATATACGTCAATAGAGATACGAAGTGACATCTCAAGGGTCTGTTCATGGACATTTTGACAGGCCGGCACGGAACCCACCGGTGAGTTGGAAAGTGTGCTGCAGTGATGCAGTGGCCTCCAGTGCAGGTAGCGGCCATGGAGCACTGACTCTGAGCTCCACAATATTATCAAGCTCCTTTGCAGTCACATCCACACGCTGTGTCACCTGTTAAAGATACAAGCAAACATACATCACACAGAGAAGGAAGACGAAAGGGAGAAGAGAAATGGAACAACACATTGTTGATAATCAAGCAGGCAGGCTACAACTTGACCTAAATGGTCAATGGCATCTCTCCCACCACTCCCATGCTGCCTGTGCATATCCTGACAACCCCAAACATATTCTCGTTCTCAATCCTCCCCAGTACCTCCACTCAACACACCTGTCCAATGGACACCGGCCCTCCAGCAGGCGGGCCAGGTCGGAGTCCCCCAAGGCTGCCTGAAACGAACCCACTGCTGTACACCAGCCGCCACGTGCCGTCCAGCAAAGCCAGATCGCGGCTCACTCCTCGGCCGATGCCGCCCACGTCCCGCTCGCCTGTCAGCGCCTTCCCCTCCGCGCGCGCCCTGCTTGCCATTCCGCCGATGTGGTCCTCCTCTACCAGCGGCGGCGGGGAGAAGTCGAGCGGAGCAGCGGCGAGCTCGAGGAGGGCCACGGCAGCTTCGACATCCTTGGCTTGCTCCTGTGACGCTGCTATCCCGCGATCCAAGGGTGCTACGAGCCGCTGGATGATGAGGGGGAAGGGAGAGAGAGTGAGTGAGTGAGCGAGTAAGTGAGTGAGTGAGTGGGTGAGTGAGAGAGAGAGAGGAAGTAAGAGAGATAGAGAGGGGAGGAGGAGGGGGTGGGGGAGGGAGGGAGGGAGAGAGAGAGATAGGAAGGGTATGACGAGCGAGAGGAAGGTGGGGAGGTGGTAAGAATAGGGAAAAATAACTCAGATGTGGGAAAAGCGAAAGCAGCAGGATGGACGTCACGCGGTTCAACAGGGCAGAACTCCGAGGTTCCAGTGCTCCTACAAATTTCACGAATGGCATCTCTAATCCATACCAGGATGTTGCCTTTAATCTTCTCCACATCAGACACTGAGCTTCCATCAGAGCTTGCCTCTTGACTCGCTGCTACCGCAACCACAGCTAGTCGTGAGTTTTCTCTCGCTGACCCAGTCAAGGTGGGTAAACTCCGAGCGCCTCCACTCGTAAGACGACGCGATGGAAGAGACAATTTGAAACGGTCGCAGGTTCGCAGGCTTGAGAAAGAGATTTGATAGTCATGTCGGCATCGTCCAGAAACGGGTAAGTGTAGACCGCGAGCAGCTGCAGCTGACAGCACAGCGATGGTAGCCGACGACATTGTTAATTTGAGAAGACAAGGATAGCACGAGCAATCCTGTGTTCAGACGGGTAATAAAGATGGAAAGCTATTCTTGTCGCGAGCCACAAGACCACTTATGACTGCTGGGGAAGCCAGATGGACGCATGTCGCCACGCCAGGTGCTCGGTCTGCTCTGCAAATTCCATGACAGATTCCAGAAGTGTGGGAGGAAACTTGTTCGGAAGCAGGTTGACACGAGCGTGGCGGTAATTGGCTGGCTCTGAAGTATCTGGCAAAAACTTTGGAAGCACCAGGAATAGATTGAAGGTACACCCATTTTCGTGGTGATGCGTCATAAGTGATACTACTTGCTTAGATAGCTGCTGATCTTATTTCTTCTTTTAGTGTATTGTTTTTCCATCGAACAATGGTACAATTAATATTACGTTGCCACGCAGGCAGGTACAAAACTATCAAAACTGCATATAGGGGTATTGAGGTGCACTTGGAACCTCAAACTTGGGTAGGTAATACGGTGACTGAAATGGGAGCAGCACCTTGAGAGGGCTGCCACACGGAGGCGGGCCTAGCCAAGCACTTGCATTGATGAAGTTGTAACTGATGAATGGTGCAGCTTCGTTGTCATCAAGCTGGTGGCTCCATGGGACCCAACCAGTACTATTCACCCCAGGACCCCAGCAGTCAAACTGGAAAATAACAGAATTGTTGGAGCCTGAGTTATTACAAATTTGGGCATAACTCTTAAAAACAGCTTACCTCGGCAAAGTATGATGTCAGCTGGCGTTCAGGATCACCCCAGTCATACCAGCCTCCAGTGGAGATGACATCGTCCACGAACGAGTGAGAAATCACCACCCGACTGTAGTTCCCCCACGCCCTTCCTAGAAACAGCTGTGGCAAGTTTAAGAACGCAGCACAACGATCCAGACTCATGGGATCGGCATATCCTCATTCCAGCGAGATGAAAGCCTTACCTTGTCATTTGCAGTGATGTTGGATCGCATTAATAGGAAACCAGTTTCTTCTGATGAATTGCAGCGCTGTTGTGCTGCAACTGCACCTCCATACCCAGAAGGCTTCCCGTAGAACGCGCAGCTCTGCATGAAAAACTTGTCAATGGCACGCCCACAGTGCAGTGCATAGCAAGAGCCCTCGAGAAACGAACCTCATAGATAGACTTTCCGTTGCCAAAAATGAAGTCAACATTCCCTTCGAAGTAGCAGTTTCGAAAGTAGTGAGTTCCCTGAAATGGTTGCCAGTCAATATACTTGCAGCGTGGACCGCTGATTCCAGACATTCTTACCCTGTGATCATAGAGCGTGTCTTGCCAGCCAACAAATCGGCAGTTGTAAAACGCTGCATAGTTTCCTGATATTCGTAGAGCAGCGGCCATTCCCGCGGGATACGTTTCGTTTTGAAACGGCGGTGGGAGCTTTGCTGAATTCTGCAAATTCCCATGCCTGTCAGAATCATTTCCATGAATGCGCAACGTCTGCCTACTCATTAACAGTACCTGAAACGTGATGTTGTTTGCGACGAAAAAATCTGCATAGACACAGACAGAGCAGGTGCTGTAGGTCCCCAAGGGAGTGCCATCAGCATTTAGCTTCCCAGCCCAATCGTTGTACGATATTATCGTGTTCTCCGCATCTGTTCCTTGCAGCATGATGCTCGTCGTCTTCTTCCGGGGTATGACGACCTTTTCCCTGTTTGCATGTTGAGGATTAGTTACCTATCTGAAACAAACGTGCTCTCTGCGGGACGCTCAAATCTTACTTGTAGAACCCTGGAAGAATCAGGATGACGACTCTGTCTAGGCCCAGAGTCATCGCCATGTCCACAGCATCTTGCACCGACGTGAAATTACCGAGCTCAGGGTCCGAAGATACAACGATGGACGGCAGGGGATAGTCGGCCCAGACAAGCTTAGGCTCCCTAGCCATCGCGAAGCTGCGAAGTACCTGATCTTCAGTTTCCCAGCCACGAATTTGGCTCACACTCAATGTCCTTCTCCTGGTATGTCGCTGTTGTGTCAGCGCCGGTGGGTAAACTCGCCCTCGTGCCATTTTTGGAACGATGGGAAAGGCCTCAACGGCCTGGAGGTATGACATTGAGAATGCCAATCCTGGAAACAAGCGCATTGTCAGTCATTGAAGCACGCCTTTCGACTTCCACAAAGTCCGTCCACAGAAACTTACTTAGAACGAATAAGATGGCCACGACTAGGCCGTTTTGAAGCCCTTGCGGAATCAACGCAGCCATCGGATAATGCTTTTGAGTGAAGACTGCTCGCAGGAGCATGAATGAGAAGTTGGTCACGTGGTGCTTTTGAAGGAGCTGATCACCGATCGCGCGCAAATCGAGGTTGCAAAATTTCCATCTGCGTCCGCGGTTTGAAGCACCTCTTGAGATTTGTTTCCCTGCTTTGGTCTCGATTGGTTCGATTGGGTTTGGTTTGGCTGAAATGCTTTGGCAGCGATTTTGAACCGTAGATCAACATTGTCAGAAGCGGATTCGGCGCTACCCAATACGATTTGTCCGTTCAATATCGATACAAGATCACTGCGACCGTAGAACTCTCGATACAAGCCATTCATTCGAGCTCAACATCACAACCATTTTTTTCCCCTCCCCATTCCAAGTTCCAGAATTCTTGAGGTCCATCTGTTTGCACTGCTGATCAAGAATCCATGGTGTTCAACAGACTATTCTTCCTGCCAGTTCCAATCTAAACAGCATGCGCACCATAACAGACCTATGCTTTGCTGAGCACCACTATATCTTACGCCTCCTGTCAGCACACACGCCGGACACCTGCTGAATGTGTTCTGCATTCTGCGAAGACGGCATGGCTGTCGAATTGCGGCCATGCCTGGTGTCTGGCCTTCCATGGCTGTCACACATAAAGCAGCCTCTACAGTCCACGCGCGTGATTCTTGCGCTTCTTCTTTGTGCCTCGATCGCGCGAGTAATGCAAGCTATGGATTCGCCTGCATTGGAAAATCCGCCAGTAGATTCGAGAATAAAGGATCTGCAAAGAATCAGCAGCGATCACGGATATCTGTCTAGTCATCCGCCTTCGACAGTGAATCACCTAGCGCTAGATGATCACGCTTCGAGCGACGCAGCTTTAGTCCGTAATCTTGCCCGATCGCGTCCAATGCACGAGGATCTCGGCCCGACCTCCGCCAGAATGTCCAGTCCTGCCTTCCATACACCATTCCCCACTGACCTTCCACCGAAACCCCCAGCCCTCTCAACGACGCGTCGAATCCTCAAGTCCGCAGCTACGAATCCTCCAGGAGAATCCAATTCGTCCTCTCTCTTTCCAGCATCGGTTGCTCTGTCTGGAAGCGGTCTTCACCACGCCACTGCCGGTGCGCAAGGCTGCTTCCTCGCCATCCTCCTTGACGCTAACGGAACACCCTCCAGTGCTGGTGCAAACTTTCGGGCCCAGAAACGGCGCCTGACTTGGCGCGTTGAGCTTTCTCTGCTGCACGCTCCCCCACCGCCTTCCCCTCCGCCTCCTTCTCCCCCTCCTCCGTCTCCGCCTCCGCCAAGCCCGCCTGCGCCCCCTCCTCCAGTGCCACCATCCCCAGAAGCCAAGAAAGAGGGAAGGCGGCGGTTGCATGAGGAATTCAAGCCAAGAATCGGTACAGGAGCAGCAGCCGATGGTGATGGTGATGCTGGTGCTGATGGTGATGCTGATGGGGATGCTGCTGATGATGCGGCTTCATACGCTGGAGAAACCGCTCTAGTTGTTGGGGGTGTTGACAGCATTCAGGGTGGGGAGTATATAGGGGAGCGGCGGAGGTTGCGTGCCAAGAGTAAGGACAAGGGTAAGAGCAAGAGTCAGAAGACAGAAGGCAAAGTGAAGGGCGGCTCCGGGAATGCGGAGAAAGAAAAGGCTGCCGAGGCTGTGAAAGGGACAGAGGAATCTGGAACCGATTCCCCTCTGTCAGGCAAAGTAAAGAAGGAGAGGGGAGAAGCGGAGGACAGAGACGAGGGGAGAACGACGAGTGAGCGAGGCGTGGGAAACCGGAAATGGGGGGAAGCAGGCGAGATGAGGGACGACTGGTTGGTATCAGGGGGTCGTATGCAATATGACCCGAAAGGAGGCTTCTATGTGGGTTGTTACATTGCTCCTCTGCCTGGAGTGTACTCCCTCACTCTCTCCCTCACACTCATGCCTCCTACCGAGCCACAGGCTCTCCATGGAGCAAAAGCAACATCAAGTGGGAGACAACAAGCAGCAGCAGCAGCAGCAGCAGGAGAGGAAGGTGGGGAAGCAGCGGAAGCTCCAGTGTTGGTACACGTGGCCAGATATCACGTGACAGTGGTGCCAAGGGCGGGGCAGCCAGGGAGTGCTGTTGAAGGGGATGGCTCGCAGAATGA